GATGCCTATGCGGATGAGTCGCTCATGCCTTATGAGCCGCTTGTCATCGAGGAGACCCGGCATGATTGGGAACCATCCTGGCCAACTCAGGCACTTGGGGAGTGGCAAAGCAGTGACGAGTCTGAGGATGGTTTCTGGGACCCTCGACCGGATTGGTTTGAACGTGCTGAGCGGAGGTTGGCCGCGCAAAGGCTGAGCTACGCAGGGGGGAGGCTTCCACAGGAAGTGGTGGACAAGCTGCCAGGTTTCTTCTTCTCCTTCGAATATCTTCGGACACTAGCGTGTGTCTCGCCGGCAATGTGCCGATCAGTTCGAGATCGTGAGAACTGGAGAAACAGTCGTATCTTCCTGTCCACCGACGAGTTCGAAAACGCACAGACTCTGCGCAGGATGGTCTACTTTTACAGTGCGGCTCGCTTATGCCTCGTCAATGTCCGACAACTGGCAATGTTTCATATCTTTCCTGAGCGTATGCTACTCGACTGGACGGCATCTGTGGCTCGTCCAGGGCTTCTAAGACAGGGTGTGTCTGGTTTCATTTCGGACCGACCTCTCATGGGATGCGCTACCTTTGACCTCGTGCTTCCAGATCATGCTGTGGGGCTTTACATGGGTGTGCAAGAATGGCGAGGCACGAAGCGATCTTATTGCCGGATCGACAATCTGTTCAGAAGAGATTGCACAGTCTCGTTTGCCTTAGATGACATGCCTCCTCAACCTCATGGTGGACGTAATCGCTGCCCGCTCCTTCCCGACCGATCTTATCGTTTCAGTCTTCGCTGGGATCAGAGAATGCTTGAGTTGTCAGTTGATGGCAGAGGCGTTTCTGTCGCTCGTCTGCGTGACGGTGCTGCCGACGCCGTGTCTCCGCTGGCCCGTGTTTTCACATGGATCCATGTGAGACCGCGCCCATTCACACAGATGGCAAGCTTCCGCCCAGTGCCCTCTTATGTGCGGCTGGATCCCACTATCAGATGCACTTTATGCCAGAGGGAGCACACAGGTCTCCGGATACCACGATGGGCTGTGTGCCCGCTGTGTGACTCCTGGATTTGCGCGAGTCATTGTGGTCAGACACCTTGGCGCCGATGTCCGTGTTGTCCGAACCAACTCATGGACTACATCGGTGGAAGCCAGGTGCAGCCTTATGCCGACGCGACTAACTTCTTCCAGACCATTTCGACCCTCGAAAATCATTCTACGCGCTCAAGCGAGTTCTGGCAAGACAAGTCGGGAGGATCTTGCGAAGATGTGGAGGGTGGAGCGTTGTCACAGTCATCATTCAGTGCCAGAGTTCTGCAGGAGAGTCAAGACGGGCCCTTTGAGGAGCGTGGAGATCCGGCCGATCAACATGCAGATCCCGATCAGCATGCACATCCCGAAAACAGCGATGGTGCTCTTCAAGTCAACTACGAAGAAGCAAGAAGAGTTCCTCCGGAGTCAACTTTTGCCCGTGTTAAGCCTTTCTTGCTGCAGCTCGAAGGCATCTTCCGCTTGTTGAGCGCACGGGTGGAAAGAAGCGATGAGAAGTTGTTGTCTGCCATCGATGACCAATGCCAGGAGTATAACACTGAGCAGGAGTTCCTCACCGTGTGTTTAGATCAAGCTGTGCCACATTTTCTTCGCCGGCAAGGGGGCCGCCGCGACGATGAAGCTGAAGGTCCCGCTGGAGGTTGGCCCATTCTGACTGCAGACATGATATCACGCATTGCAGTGCCGTTGCAGCGGGATTTGCTGGACGAAAGACGGCTTCTTCAATTCGTTGCCGAGTGGTGCAACACTCCGTCGCAAAGGCAAGCTGGATGTGCATATGCAGATTGCTCGGTGAAGTACGATGTTGGTCCACGCACACCTCTTCAGTTCGTGAAACCTGCTCCGGAGAACAATATCTACGTTCGAATCCCTCGCTGTTTGGGAGATCCCGTCTTGCAGAATGCAGAGCAGAGATTTCAGAAGTTTGTCAGGCAGACAGCAGACGACCTGGCTGGACGTAAGCCGTACGGGTACATCACCCGTATTCTCCGGGCTACCGGGTGGAAGCATATTGAAACCAACCGCCTCATGACCTTCAAAAACATAGAAGAGGGCAATTTCAATTCGATCATGCGGCGAAGCTTGGTCTGGAGACCAAAGCCTCTTTTCGTGGATCCCACTGTCAGATGCGCTTTATGCCAGAGGGAGCACACAGGTCTCCGGATACCACGATGGGCTGTCTGCCCGCTGTGTAACTCCTGGATTTGCGCGAGTCATTGTGGTCAGACACCTTGGCGCCGATGTCCGTGTTGTCCAAACCAACTCATGGACTACATCGGTGGAAGCCAGGTGCAGCCTTATGCCGACGCGACTAACTTCTTCCAGACCATTTCGACCCTCCAAGAAGAAGTCGATAAGTTTTCATGCGTTGTTCGCAAGACTATTCGGCAACATGCCGAGTTTTTGCAGCAAAACCCCTTAGCTGTGAAGCTGTTGCCAGACCCGGCCGCAAAAAACAGGATGTCGAAGCGCCTTTGGGAGAAGGTCATGTATCGGGGCCGAGCGATAATTGATTTTCTGGACCAGAAACAAGATTTATTGCTCTTCAGATTCCTTCATGCTCTCTCGGAGGACCTTTCTTCATCTGATCGCAAGCGTCTATTGGCCGACCTTCCTCACCCGGAGGACATGCGAGATGGCACGCCCTGGCGTCAGCTGGCTTTAGAGTATTCTCTAGAGCTTCAGCTCCAGTTGGCGCAAGAGCAACGGCGGCGGTCAGAAGCCCAGGCAGCGAAAGAACAGCTACTTCGAATTCAATCTCTGCAAACTCATTCTTCGCGCTCAAGTGAATTCTGGCAAGACAAGTCGGGAGGATCTTGGGAAGATGTGGAGGGTGGAGCGTTGTCACAGTCATCATTCAGTGCCAGAGTTCTGCAGGAGAGTCAAAACGGGCCCTTTGAGGAGCGTGGAGATCCGGCCGATCAACGTGCAGATCCCGATCAACATGCACATCCCGAAAACAGCGATGGTGCTCTTCAGGTCAACTACGAAGAAGCACTTGGTGTGCGTGCGCAGCAAGAGTTAGAGGCTCTGCTAGATAAAGAGGACCAGCTGGCAGACCGGTTGCAAGTTGCCAAGAAGAGAAGACTAATGCCCGGTGCAGCCGATTCGTTTGCTGCCTTCGAGAAGATGTTCGATGCCCAAAAAGAAGCCTGCGAGTCATCCTTTGGCGAAAAACCTGATTCTGCAGAAAGCTCAGGCTGTAGCACGGTTCTGCAGCGAACGTCGAGAATTCTCCACTTCGTGCGAGAGCGCTTTCCTGACTGGTCTGAGCAGCTTGTTAGATTGGGCGCAGCAGCTATCACCGTTTATCGCACCAGGTATTCAGACATGTTCGTCCGTGACTTCGTTGCTCTGGTGTGGGTGATGGAGGGCGAGCGGTTCCTGCGAGCTCACGGAGGTGTGTGTTACATGTACCACGAACATGGTGCTTTCCAAGCATTTGCAGGCGTTCCTCCGGAGTCAACTTTTGCCCGTGTTAAGCCTTTCTTGCTGCAGCTCGAAGGCATATTCCGCTTGTTGGGCGCACGGGTGGAAAGAAGCGATGAGAAGTTGTTGTCTGCCATCGATGACCAATGCCAGGAGTATAACACTGAGCAGGAGTTCCTCACCGTGTGTTTAGATCAAGCTGTGACACATTTTCATCGCCGGCAAGGGGGCCGCCGCGACGATGAAGCTGAAGGTCCCGCTGGAGGTTGGCCCGTTCTGACTGCAGACATGATATCACGCATTGCAGCGCCGTTGCAGCGGGATTTGCTGGACGAAAGACGGCTTCTTCAATTCGTTGCCGAGTGGTGCAACACTCCGTCGCAAAGGCAAGCTGGATGTGCATATGCAGATTGCTCGGTGAAGTACGATGTTGATCCACGCACACCTCTTCAGTTCGTGAAACCTTCTCCGGAGAACAATATCTACGTTCGAATCCCTCACTGTTTGGGAGATCCCGTCTTGCAGAATGCAGAGCAGAGATTTCAGAAGTTTGTCAGGCAGACATTTTGGTGCAACGAGCACTTCTATGTGTGTTGCCTCGCCGCCATTGCTCTGGCCAAACGTGGTGAGAATGTAGATAGATGCTTCATTGGAGAATCTTCCGGAGGCACAGGACAATCGTTGTACAGCAACCACTTGGCGGCAGTGTATGGGCATAACCACTCGTTCATAGACCCGAACTTGTGGCACAACGAAGACGAGCTGCGCAAGCAGCTTGAAACTTTTGCCCACTGCTTCATAGTCACCGCGCAAGAGACCCCAGAGACGCACCGATCTTTCAAGGAGGACCTGTACAAGAAAATGGTTTCTGCAGACGACCTGGCTGGACGTAAGCCGTACGGGTACATCACCCGTATGCTCCGGGTTACCGGTTGGAAGCGTATTGAAACCAACCGCCTCATGACCTTCAAGAACATAGAAGAGGGCAATTTCAATTCGATCATGCGGCGAAGCTTGGTCTGGAGACCAAAGCCTCTTTTCGTGGATGATGAATGGCTTCAAGCACATTATCCTGACTCTCATCTCGACGGGATTTTTGCCAAGGATATCGGTCTGCGTGAGTTTCTCGAGTCAGGACCAGCGATTGCAGTTTCATTGCGACGCCAGCATGGTTTCGAGGCCACGCACAATCGAGACAAATGCAGAGCTTTGATCGAAGAGTATGCTGTAGCGGGCCTCACGGAAAAGAAGATGCGCGAGGCATGTGGCCTTCGCCCGCGCGAGGTGCCAGCTGTTAGTGATTCATGTGTATAGTCTTCCGCGTACGGTTTGCGTTGAAGATCGTAGCATTTCGTTTTAAGATCTTCTGTCGTCATTGTGATTGATTGAACTATTCATCCGACGTAGACATGTGAAGCTTTGGCTTTGAGGAGACCACCGACCAACCTACCAATGCTGTTCTGGCTTTGGTGGAGCAAGCTGGCGAGGCAGAAAACCAACAACGGGAAGACGAGCCACTTCGTAAGATAATCAAAACCATGGTGCGCGTGGGCTTGGGCACCAAGGCATCTCCGGCGCTGATCCCTAGGTTCACAAAGTTGTGGTGGGATCGCAACGCCTCGAAGTTATCTGCACAGAAAGACGCTTTCAACGACTTGTGTTCGAACGAGCTCTTGATCACGACAGTGGCCTGGGGCAAGAAGGAGTTGTACATACCGAAGGTCTTTTGCCAGAAGACGTTCAGAGAAGTCTGTAGCTGGGCGCAGCCTAGCAAGCCTACGGTGCTGTGCGAAGTGTTTGATGCCAGTGAGCTTTGGAAGGCGGTCGACTCCTATCCGTCTCGAGGACACAATGCCGAGATCTTGCAGCAGTTCTACAAGAAGCTCCTCTCCCGCATCAGCAAGAAACGTGGCCGGATGAGCGCAACGCAAGCCGAGTCTCTCTCCCACTGGCAACATACATCCGACAAGCTCAGGAAGCAAGAAGATGCTGCTAGATCTCTGTTGGACTTCTTTGAGACAGAAACAGCGCCGGCAGCAGCCCAAGCAGCAGAAGCAGGACGTCAGCAGCATAGCGGGGTCCTGTCGGCGCAGAGATTGTGGGAGCAGGGTCCACATGCAGAGCACGTGTCGGCCGCTGGTGAGTCACCCGTCGAACCGCTTCCTATGAATCCGTTCGAGGGTAAGGCCTGGGTCACTATGCAGACCAGCTACAAGTACAACCAACCAATGTTGCGCACGCGTCGGTATGCAGAGGGCTTATCCGCGCAGAAGCTGTCTAGAGCATGGCAGATGGTTAGTCTTTCGCACACAGTTGACCTGGACATCGAGAATTGCTGCTTTGTGTTAATGTTGCAAATTTTGGACCGTATGAATCCGGAGCACGCAGAATGGCCGTCCGTGAGAGAGACACTCAGCGCCTGTGCCGAGGACCGAGAGAAAGTGATTCAAGAGCAACTGTGTGTATGCCGTAGTCTGGGTAAGAGCATCCTTCTCAAGGTGTTCAACGGAGGACAGCCCCCGTGTGAGCTGTCACACAACCCGTTCGTAAAGCGCCTGCAACAAGCATCGCTGTTTTGCAGGTGGCTAGCAGCGTCGTCACTTCCAGAGCTTCACCGACATTTTGTAGATGAAGCCAGGGACAATCCTGAGGCGTCGACCTTGTTTTATATGTGGACAGTTGCCGAGGATGCGGTTTTGGATGCGTGGCTGGAGCACCTGCAGGCGTTCCATCCTTCGCACCTGTCGCTTCACTTCGATGGCATACGCGTCAGCTCAAATGATGTTGGAGAGGCAGTTCAAGATTTCTGTGCAGCCTGCAGTTGCCATATCGAAGCCAAGGCAGGTTTCAAGGTCCACATTCGCCCAAAGACTCACGGTTGCTTTCTGAAGCTGGTTGCTCAAAAGGCCTCCTCATCTCCTTTGCACTGTGCTGAACAACTTCTAGAGCCTGGCAACTGTATCTTACGTGGTCTGTTCCATTTGGGTTTTACAGATGATGCCATCCGCATTCACGATGACTCAACGTCAGAGTACGGTTTGTATTACAGGCGTAGAGGGCACCGAACATATTTGCATGTGGAGTCTGCATCTGGAAGAGAATTTCATCCTCGACTGGATCTCAGGCAGATGAAAGCCAAGGATCAATTCCTGTTGCACTGTTACGTGCGGGGACAGCCTCACTGCGTCGCGGTCATGGTTTCTGACGACACCGAGGTTAAGGTTGTAGACGGGTCTTCTTGCTGGACTTTGAGAACCGAAGACTTTCAGGACGCATGGCACGATGCGGCTGATAACAAGTACTTAGTGATATTTGACGTCTTGGAACAAGGCCGCGTAGCCAATGAGCAGGCAGATTCAACGGGTCCTTTGCCTTCCGAGTGGGCTGTGTTGAAGGAGCTGCAGGCAGGTTCAGGAGACACATCGTTAGAGGAAGCAGACGACGAAGGCGATGGGGCCGATGAGGCGACCACCAAAGTCGGCGATCACATCTTGGCATTGATGGAAAAGGAAGTTGATGACTTGCTCTCCAAGAAAAAGGTTCACAGGAACCCAGACAATCGGCTGGTGTGTCCGCTATGTCCTTTCCGAGCTTTCGACAAAAATAACAAGGGTAGAGTTTTGCATCACATTCAGAAGTACCATTGTGCGTCGAAACAGTACTGCCCTAGCGGCACAAAGCAAATGAAGCTTGTGATTGCCCTGCACGACGGTGACCGCCTCTTGAAAAGAGCAGAGAAATGCGACCTGCTGTCCCGATCTGCATCCATCATGCGACAAACCATCGTACCGCCTCTCCCCGGTGCCATCAACTGTATTGACCGCTTCATCCGCTTGGTTATGACAGAATCGGGGCCAGAGTTCTGGAATGTCTCCACTGTGCAAGGCGAAGCATTTGTTCGGCGAGTTCGAAACCTGTACTACACCAAGGGTTTCGGGCAGTTGATTTTCCAGCAGACGTTGCTTTGCAATGCCAAGGTGCAGGGAAAGGTAAACATTGTTCTCGCAAAACGGCTAGAGTGGCTAATGTCGATTAGAATTGCAACTAGAATTGTCAACTGCGCTTGAGAGAACAATACTTGTCTGTAAGTGGGTCTTGTGCTTCTGCCTTGTGGTAGGTGCACGGCGTGATCGCAGCTCTACATTCTATGATGGAGCACGAGTCCACCTGTTTGCTCCCGTCGCACACCAAGGATTGGCTGCCGCTGATGGAGGACATTCTCACTTCTCCGGCCGTTGCGGCAATGGAACGAGAACTCATCCATGAGCTCGTACAGCACAACGAGTACCAGACGCTGAGCATCGATGCCACGCTTAGGTGCTGTCTTCCCATCCTAGGACAGCCACGCCCACGTTCTATGGATGCGACTCAAGCGGCCTTCGACGAAGCCAGCATGCTGCGAAGGGTGTCGTGGCGGATATAGATTTGGTCTGAGTATAGATGCAGCAGTGTAGCTTCAAGACCAGCAGACAAGCAAAACCCTCTCGGAACAGCCCATGTGATTCTAATTCGTTTCAGCATATGTACCCTAGTACTGTAGTCTCGTCAAGGTGTTCACCGTACGCGGGCGAACAAATGCCGTGGTCGGCATGTTCGCAGTGGCCAGTGATGATGCATGTGGAGCAGCACAAGCTCTGGTAGAAAGCATTACAGCTGAAGGACTCGCTCAGGTCGAATTCGTCACCGTGGACAATCCGAGCCGGCACTACTTGCTTAGCTTGAAAAACATTTGCCCGAACCTGCAGGTTATGGCTTTGGACCCGGTGCATCTGGCCATGACATGTGAGTACGCAAGTTCTCGGAAACGTACCAAGGCCACGAAAACATTGCGCTGCATTCTGTCCAAGTTTTCTGCTGTTGATCACGCGTACGATGCTGCAAGTTGGGGGCACGTCTTCCACGGGCGCAGTTGCAAAGGGCTTACAGTCGAGGAAAATTCGCTGCGTCAGAAAATCGAAGATCGGACGATGCGGGTGACGACAGCGGAACAAATCCTGGCGCAGCTGGACCCAAGCCGACCGTTCTATACGCGCGTCGAGTGGATTCGGTCTTTAGCCGCCTTGGTTTCAGTCTTCCGGGATGAGGTGAGCCGCCTCGCTCCTGGTCCAAACAGGCGAATCTACCAGCTGCTTCACACAGCAGCTGCTGCAGAGCGAAGTGAATGGTACATGAACAACATTCGACTTCGTCACAGCATGCCGAGACACCGGCTCAGTCTACTCCCCGTTGGCACCACCAGTAACGAGTCGCTACATCACGAGATCAATTGCTGGTTTCGTGAGACTCAGCAGATGCACCAGTCAACTCTGCAGCTCAAACTTCGCGTTCTGAAGCTTGGCAAGCTCATGTCGCACAACTCAGCTTTATACCAGCACACCTCCAAGCAACTGCCGCATTCTGTCGTGTTGGCACGAGCCAGTCGTCGCAACCTGTGGTCGGAGAAGGGATGGCAGAGGTGGTGCAAGGAGCTGCGCGACCAAGGTGCGGTGTCCAAGGCGAGCCTGCCACTTTCTGCAAAGCGACAGCAAGAAAAACAGGCGGTGAAGGATGCGGCTGTGAGAATGAAGCGTCCTGCTGCCATAGACTCTTCTGTCGTGAAGAAGAGACGGCGCACTCCTCACACTCTTGAGCGGAAGGATTCGCTTCGGAGAGGAGGCGTGCGTTCCTCCACCTACTAGTCGTCGAAGATTGATTGAGGCTGAAGCTGGCAGTGCTGACGCGAGCAAAAGGCAGAGTGATGCATGCAAGGGTACTGTTGCTTCGTGCTTCGTGGAGTGCAGGGGGGGTTGTGACAGAAGCAGGCAGCGGCCGTCCTACTAAAGTCCGCGTGTGTTCACGGCTCCGGAGAAGGGCTTTGCCAAGAGACTGGTGATCTGGACATGTGCTGCCTGATGTGGGATCGTAGGAGGTCTGTGTCCGAGCCTGCAGGCTCTGGATGCATTAGCACCCGTTGCATCATGAATATATCTAGCTGCAATCAGCTTGTAGCTTGTCGCGGCAGCTGGGGTGTTTCAGAACGAGCAGGCCGAATCTCGACCACCTGCGGCTTCCCACTCGGCATCGTGAGAGGGAATGCAGCGGGAAGCTCAGTTCTTCTATACCGGGTAAGACTGGTAAGATCGGTGCAGCGACGAGCATCTGTGCTGGATGTGACAACAACAAAGATTCGTTAGACAGGCCTGCGAGAAGCTCGAATATCACCACTGCCATGGAAGCAGGTGGACCAGGCGGAAGCCGTCCCAATCCCTGTGTGGTTTTTCAGATGGCTTGTGATCGGCGTGCCAGTAGGGCAAAGACCACGGACCATGAAAACGGTGTCCACACTGCGCGAGCTTTCGGCATTGATGTTGATGTGTAACTAAGGCTATGAAGCGGCATCCACACCTTCGAGAATGACTATTCGAATTCTCGCTGACGGATGTGAGATAAGCCGGGCGCTTGTATGGGCATGGCCTCATCATGACCAAGAGCCTGTGCCCTGCAGAGGGGGTTCTCGGTTGAAGATGGTTTTGGCTTGTGGTCATGGTTCTTGGACCCAGCCCCAAGTTATCTCAGATTTCCTCTAGGTTCGGTCTGCGAGCACCGGCCGGGAAACAGTCGGTCCTCCCGATCTCCAAAAGAGACATTGCTGTAGGCTGTAAGAAATGTCAGACCCCCGATTATGCTTCCGAATGAAGTCCGAATCGCAGAACACGCTGCCGATATGAAAGCAGATGAAAAAGTTGCGCCATCACGCTGCGAACGGACGTCGAAGCCTAGTTCAATTCGCAGGTATCGCAATCTGAGTTATGAAGCAGAATGTCATGGACCACCATGTACATATAGAGCAAGGCTCCGTTTTGCGACCTTGTCTCAGAACCTTTTCTTGTGCTTACACATGGGACCGATCCCGGACCATGCTGTAATGCCAACGCAACTTTGGCTCAATAATATGCCAAACTAGCCAAAGCTAGTAAGCCTGTACCGACCTAGCGAAGGATTCGAGCCATTCCCCTTGCACAGACAACTCGCCGTGTATCTCTTGGCGAGAAAACAATCGAACCGAGTTTGCCTGCAGGGAGTGAGACGCGAAGTGGAAGTGGTTGCCTATCAGCTCAGCAACGCGAACCACAACTACAACAACACGCCCGGTGAGGTGAGCATCACCATACAGTATCATCGATACCAAACCCTCCTGCACACGCTATCATCAGAGATATATGCAAGTTGTGACCGCTTGTGTTGTCATGTGCTACTCGACGAGTCGCTGTCAAGGTCTAGGCACAGTCTGTAATAATGTGTCAAAACCTCTTCCTTGCCTTACCGGCCTTGAGAACTGTATCATCGGAGGTCCGCTTCGCCGTTAGACAGTCATGTGCAGTCTGTGCTGGCATGCCGGAAACGAGATGCACATCTTAAGTCATCAGCAGTCTTACCATTGCCCACAGCATTTGTGGCCTGGATCTGTCACAGCGTGAAAACCCAACATAGCATCGCACTGTGCTGCGATCGATCGTTGATTCAACCGCTAGTTAAACTCACGGCTGTCTGATGGACGGTGCCCGCAAAACAGCCTCCGGAGTGGGAAAGAACTAAGGTTGACCCAACAACAAACCCACACATTATACCTAAAGGTCCGTGCCACTTAACGCTATTGGCTGGAGCAACGGATTCTGCCAGTGTTCCAGGCTCATAATTATGGTCGGTTGTCAAAATTATGGTCCCTCTCATATACGCACGGCACCTAATATTTAGGGTACTCAAAAAGGAACCACAGTTTTGACAACCACCCATGTAGACCACACCGGCCCAGACCATAGACGAGACCTTTTAGGGTTAAGGCAACAGCTTCAGCTGCACCCTGCGACTAGCCCTGCCTTGTGACCCCCCTGCTCCTGGCCCTGCCCCCTGGCCCCTGGCCCCCTGGCCTCTCTGGCCCCTCCCGGTTCGGCTGCGATCCGACCCTGTGACATGTATGACAGGGTGTGGGAATTGAGGGCGTAAGCCCTATCCTAAGTTTGGGTGGTTGCCTGTGGTATCATCACAGCGGGCGGGTTTTGGAGAACTTCTGGTTTCACCGAGTTCTCTCACACATGCAAAGAAGGTCGCTTAATTTGCGGCCACCCACAAACCCTGGTGTGAGGCGGCGCAATCGCAGCATGGACCATCGGCCACTGCGCACGAAGACACCCTAATCCCTAAGGCCTAAACCTTAAAGCCCTAAACCCTAAACCCTAAAGTCCCAAACCCTAAAACCCCAAAGCCCTAAACCCTAAAGTCCCAAACCCTAAAGCCCCAAAGCCCTAAACCCTAAAGTCCCAAACCCTAAAGCCCCAAAGCCCTAAACCCTAAAGTCCCAAACCCTAAAGCCCCAAAGCCCTAAACCCTAGGGTCCCTAAACCCTAAAGCCCTAAACCCTAGGGTCCCTAAACCCTAAACCCTAGGGTCCCTAAACCCTAAACCCTAGGGTCCCTAAACCCTAAAGCCCTAAACCCTAGGGTCCCTAAGCCCTAAAGCCCTAAACCCTAAACCCTGAGCCCTTGAAGAGCCCAAGCTTCCCTCGGCTTGCAGGAGGCTTCCGAGGCGCTCCGAAGAGCCCAGGCGTTGCTCACCGCAGCCATGGCAGGCACCCCTTTAGGTGCTTAGAGGGGCCTTAGATTAGGAGGCGGGTTCTTCAAAGGGCTAGATTGAGGGTTCTATGAGGGCTCTTCGAGGTTTTAGGGTTGAGGGTGTAGTATTGGGAGTTTTACTGCTTAGGGCTTAGAGTTTCATGCCTTAGGGGGTTTAGGGTTTAGGGTTTATAGTTTGGGGTGTCGGTTCCTTGAGAAAGTAACGGGGTTCCTTTAGCTTTAAGGGGTCTCTTGAGGTTTACTACAAGGGGTCAATAGGGTTTAGGGTGGCAGGGTGTGGGGTTTAGGCACTACGGGGAGCTGTTTGGTGGCCCTTTTTGCGGCTTGTGCTTAAGGAGTATTCAGTAAGACTGTGCAAGGTAGGATTGATTCTCGGGTTTTATAAGTGTATACCGGGCTCCTTCTTACACCAGTGATAAAGGAGAATTGTGGAACAATCCTGAACAAGCTTTGCAAGTAAGCAGAAGGTAGTTGAAGAAGTTCTTGTGGCCAGATTTTATAGTGACGCTGCAGTGAGGCTTTGCATGCCAGCGAAACACCTCCGAATCTTGTATATCCATGTCATGGTCTGAGCTTTCGTAGCGTGATGGCGACCCGTGCGCTCTCCGAGCTCCCCACGAAGCGACGGGAGCAGACCTTGGTGCCAAACGGAAGGGTTTAGGGTTTAGGGTGTAAAGGCTACCAGCTCGTCAGGATGTGCACCTGTCGCACTGGTTTGCACTGCGAGGAGGCATTATGCCCCAAACGGCAAGAAGACAACAATTCCAACGGAGAAACCGGACTGTTAAACGCCTGCAACAACCCGCGAATTACTGGCGAGCACGGTTGCCAAATCCAAAGATCAGCTATTCGCAGCCGTGGCACATCCCAGATCTCAGTTGGAAAGCCAGGTAATCTTTACTTACCCCGAAACCCTGAACAAACCCCGGAAATTCTAAATCGATAACCCGCAACCCGAGCCCGAAATCCTAATTCTCCAAAGTACAACAACCCCAAACCCTAAACCCTAAACCTCAAACCCTAAACCCCAAACCCTAAAGCCCTAAAGCCCTAAAGCCCTAACCCTAGGGTCCCCAAACCCAAAGCCCAAACCCGAAATCCTAGACTCCAGTGCGAAACAAGGCTCCCCTGTCCAAAAGGGCAAAAGCGGTAAACATTCAAATCCAGGGTTCAGGGTTTAGGGTTCAGGGTTTAGGGTTTAGGCTTTAGGGTTCAGGGTTCAGGGGGTTCTTACTAAGGAGCTTAAATCTAGTTCCCATGATAGGAAATCAAGCTGTTTACTATAGATCCGCATTATGGTATCTGCAACTAAGCTCCGCAGCAAGAACCCAGCAAGGCTAAGAATAGGCCTTCAGGGAAATCTATGCAAGAGCATGCACCGTCCCATGGTTACTTAAAGGGTCATGGGGCTTAGTAACTAGAGTTATAATTAAGGTAACTATACTTATAATTACTTATAACCCCAATTAAGGTACTTATAACCTTACTTACTAAGTCCCATGATCCTCCAAGTATGCTCATGGAACTCATACAGGCATCTCTTATGGGAGCCCGTACTGTTGGGGCCTTCATAGTTATCAATACTATTTTTGGGGGGCTCCTGGTTAGAATTATGGTATGATGGACCCAAAAACCATGTTCTAGTTATGAAGGCCCCTATATTACAGTACCCTCATAGATCCCTTGTAGTATCCCTTAAAGGAAGCCCTTAAAGGAACCCTATTCCTAACTATTAAGGCCCCGACGTTACAGGAACTGGCATCCTCCGTCCCACGCCCTTAAACTCTCTAAACTCCGCACTTGGGGGGTCGGGGGACTTAGTAAGTAGGACCCTAATTGGGGTTATGGTACTTATAAGTCCCTAATATAGCCAATTACTAAGTCCCCCGACCCCCGACCCTCCAAGCAGGCAGTGGTGTCAGCATTCCGCCGGAAGCCGCTTGAGGGCCGCTTTAGAGCTGTCAATGAGAGGGCTGCCTGCCGAGGTGATCGAAGGGGGTTTAGGGTTTAGGGTTTAGGGTTTAGGGTTTAGGGTTTAGGGTTTAACCCAACAAGATTCTAAACCGTAA